ATTCTAAATCTGCTCAGTAAAGCCAAAACAATCTCTACTAAGTTGCTTTAATTTCCCATTATCATTGTCAGTGCCGCTGCTAGCCATTTTGGTGCCCTAAGCATAATTCCTTTATGATGACATTGACGAGCGGTGACAGACCAATGAGGCTCTGAACACACACACACAGCCTGTCAGCTGTTTCTTACATGCTCTCTGCTTGGCGCCGCTGCGTATTGAAGATGAAGAACGCTCTGAATCTGATTATAACAAGAAGTTTGAAGATTGATTTTTCATTAGGATATTTTTGGTGCCCCCTCAGCACTTGGTGCCCTACGCAGATGCGCGTGGTGGGAGCGGCGGCACTGATCACTGTAAAAATGCTTTGAAGCAATCTATATTTTTCAAAGGGCTAAATAAATGAAGGTCACTTAACATACTGTATGTTTAGATATTCATAAACAAAATATTCCAGGGGCCATGAAAGCTTTGTGCAAATGATAAAAAATGCTGGTGAGGAAAGAGTTAATAATTATTATTTGCAGTGGAAAGTATAGAAAGCACGAGAGGCAGAATTGTGCTTAATTTATATGCTCTATTTTTATTTGTTTCCAGTGAAATCAAACTTCAGAGGCCACAACAGGCCTCCTGAGACGTGTTAGATACTATAAAAACACTATGCACTGGTGACTTTACAGTCAAACTAAATCAGAACACAGATAGAGTTCATTACCTGCAATTTTAAATGAAGATGCAAGGGTGGTCATTTCAGAGTATTTAAAGGTATTTTTAATAACTTTTATAATGTGAAAAAAAGGTTTTCTTAGACTGTGTTGAATTATTACTGTATATTCATTTAATTGAATAACTATTATATTATTAAGATACTTTATTTGTTAAACATTATAAACATTATTTACAGTTAATGTCACATTACAGAGTATTAGACGCTGTGGCTAAACATTCTAAGCTGAATGTTTGTTTGTGTATTTATTTGGTCTAAAAACATGTTTGCTCTCTTCCTCAGGTCAATTAAAGTTTTCATTGTGCAAGGAAAATGGAAAATGGAACATATTTGTACTTAATGTTGTTTGAAAATCTTGGGGGCATAAAATATGCTTTCTTCACTTTGGCGTTTATTTTTTACTGTGCTGTCATAATCTTAAATGTTCTTATTATTTTTGTAATATTTCTGGAAAGAACATTGCACAAGCCCATGTACATTTTGATGTCATGTTTGTCCATCAATTCTCTATATGGTACAGCTGGCTTTTTCCCAAGGTTATTGACAGACCTGCTCTATGATACACACAAAATTTCCTTTGAAGCATGTCTCATACAAAGTTTTGTCCTTTACACATATGCAAGTTTTGAGCTTACAATATTGATGCTAATGGCATTTGATAGGTTTGTTGCAATCAGTAAACCTTTGCATTACAACAACATAATTACCAAACGGTTTCTAACTTTTCTAATAGTTATAGCATGGCTTTATCCAATTACTTTTCTTAGTATTGGTGGTATTTTAACTGCAAGGTTGACAATCTGTGGTAACAAATTGCTAAAGGTGTACTGCCACAACTATGAAATTGTCAAACTCTCATGTGCGAGCATTACTATTGTTAATATTTATGGCCTAATTATGACGATCACAACAATTTTTATCCCTTTAGGTTTTATTTTGTATACTTATGTCAGAATTATTATAATTTGTCAAAGAAACACACGAGAGTTCAGGAGCAAAGCATATCAAATTTGTATTCCACACATGATGATCCTTTTAAATTACTCTATTGCTATTTTTTGTGAGCTGACTTTGAGTCGATTTATGAATGGAGAACTTCCTATAGCGCTGACTGTTGTCCTTTCACTTGATTTTATTGTAATACCACCCTTTGTAAACCCTATTGTTTATGGTCTAAACTTTCCTGATATCCGCAAACAAATCCGACGTGTAATAAAAGCCTCAAAATAGATTGCTTTGTTTCTGTTGTACCAAAAACAAGAAATAAATTCAAGATAATTGTTCAATAAAGCTGTCACTCACCTTTTAGTTTTTAATGCACTAAATGTGATCATTTTCACATCTCTGAATTGTCTATACAGATTACCTTTAAATTACCTCCTCAATTATTAAATGTTTGTAAAAAAAGGGTGTCAGAAACACAATCAGAGCATAACTTTCTAAACTGAAAGAATGAAGGTGTCAATCTATATTGTATTCTCAGATTAATACATTTATATATAGAATAAAAGATACTATAAATTTTTTTTAAATGCTATTAGTGTTTTATAATTGTACTATCTATTTACAAAATATATTTGTCTATTTTTTTAACTGGTGTATAATTTCAATATTTTGTTTTGCATATAATGTATTATACTCTCAGACTGAACCTGTCTTTTTTATTATTAAGAATTCAGAAATCACAATAGCTGTCAACATACTTTATATCAAATAAATACAACTTGTGTTAAAAAAGGTATATCCATTGTCAATAGAAAAAAAGGGGGTTTCCATAGTATAGAATAATAACACAATTTATTCTAACCAGCTTGCAAAGATTAAGATAGAGAAACTCCGGAAAGCAGGTTTAGATTTTTTTAGATCTGTCATCTCTGGCTCGCTTAGTTGGGGACACCAAATATTTAACAATATTATTAATCTGCCTGCATTGACACCATTGTATATTAACTGTACTGAGCTGGACTATGGGATCGCTGTTTTATCCAGAGCTGCTGTATAGATAAATTGACTAAATTAAGACTGAACTTAAGCTGGACAGTGACATTTTCTTCTAGAGCTACTGTACAGCCAACAACTGTTTTTATATTATTTTCCTGTTCTCACCGTTTAGCTGCTTCAAACGATCTGTATTGAAAAGGTGCTACATAAATAAAGGTGACTTGACTATAAAACAACAAACAAATAAATAAGAGAACAATAGGCAAACATAAATTTCAAATAGTATACTGTCACAGGTGGTTATTGAACAAGTAATGTACAAGTAAATATAAATCAATATTCTTTTATTAAAAGTCCAACAGAACAGACTGATCTCATGAAATGGCGTGTGTATGACACGCCAATTTGTATTTCCATTTTTGGCGTGCTATCAACACGTATAATTGCTTTTCAGCGTGTTTATGAACGCCGTTGACTTAACGTTTCATTACTGTATATATAAATATATGACCTTCCCCAACCCGTCCCTAAACCTACCCGTCACTGGGGTTAATACCATTTATGAGTCTTCCCCTACCATCCTAGGAATAAAAAATATCGCTCCCCAGATAGATCTACATTTAGCTTCGTTTCGTTTGGACATTTAACGGCGTAGACATACACGCATACACAGTGAACTATCCGGCGTAAACATACACGGATAGCTCAAAATGCGTATAGATAACACGCCTGACTTGAAAGTGGCGTGTATGTTTACGCAAAAGTCATGATGTCATGTTGAACAGAAACACAAAGAAGATCTACAGGAAAGAACCACCAACATATTAACGAGACAAGACAATAAACATATCGGGTTACGACTGTAACCCTCGTTCCCTGAGAAGGGAACGGAACGCTGCGTCGAGAATCGAATTGGATCACCTCATCCAATGGCTCGAAGGGTGCCAGGGATAACCCCTCGAGGACCAGTCAGATCCCAAGCAGGAACTTTGGACTGGATGACAGGCCTCAACCTCTTAGTTCCACTAAGGAAACCGACAATTGATGGGTGTCTCCCCAAAGTGCACACCCCCAAATGCGTGTGGAAGGCAGCTAGGGCCGCCACATAAACTTTAAGCGTAGACTGGGAGAGCCCGTCAGAGAAGCGACTCAGGAGGAACTCAAGCACTGAAGCCACTGGGCAGTTAACTGGGTCCAACTACAGTTCTCTGCATCACATGTTAAAAACACTCCATTTAAATAAATAAAGTTTCCTTGTGGAAGGGGCTCTAGAGTTTAACATGGTCTCCACAACCTCAGCTAAGAGACCAGTATTTAGGAATTGGCTGAGGGTGAAATATTGTGCCATCGGCACATGCCTTGACAACAGACCCAGATGACGAAGACTTCGGAAGAATAAACACAAATGAGAATGGACCAGGACGTCTTGGTATGGTTATTTGATACATTTATGTTTATAGAGTTGTAATCGCGTCCCCTTTGCAATTATGGATTTGCAACACACACACACACAGACACACACAAACACTAACGTTGGTGCAATTTTTTGACACTACATACACATTCTGTGATAAAGTTTGCTACGTACAAGCGAAATTACATTTATGCGAGGGACCTGTTGCGTCATGTTTACTTGTCTTACAGGTAATTCTGTGGCAAATGTGAGAAGATGGCTAACTTACAGAACAACAATATACAGTATATGCAGTTTTTAATACAATATCTTTAAAAATATATATATATTTATAAACGGTTTATATTATATACACAGACATCCTACGACGACAACAATTTTAGACATATTTGTTGTTGAATAGGCTGACATCGACTGAAATGACTATTTGCTCAAAAATCATAAAATACACTTACTGGAGGTGACGTTGGATCGCAAACAGTAGACGACGATCCACAGTTGAGGATTAACTTTGAAGCAAGACCTGCTTTCAATTGACCCTCGTTCACAAAACAGTCAGTCAGAAAATGACTTGCAAACATAAACTTATTTACGAAGGAAAGGCGCCACTTAAACTTCGAAAATACAATACATCCACTGTGCTTTCAGTGGCTCTGATGTCGGAAATAAGTGAAAACTACTATGTATGTCATTATTACATCCCATCCCTCAACAGAACACTTATTTTTCCAAGAGACATTACCGGCTGTCATTGAAACAATGGAGGATGGTGTACAGATCACCGAGGGCGGGGTCAATGCCAAAACCACACTGTCAATCAAACCCCTTGCTCAATTCTACGTCACAAAGCGCTGAATCTAAGAACAGCTCGTTCTGAGAGAGTGCATATGATTTATTGAGATTGTAAAAAAAAACTGGGTGGATTTTATCATTATAAAGGGTGGTTTTACTCACACACTGCCAACACACATTTATGTTCAAACACCATGTAAAAGTGAATTTTGCAGGTGCCCTTTAATGTTACAACAAATTTACAAATCGTTTGACACAACCAATGACAACTTGACTGCTGTTAGAGAATCCTATTTTATAATAATCCTGGACATGGATGCATTAATCATTGCATCTGTCTTTCAAAGATGTCAGGTAAAAAACAAACAAGCATCCTCTCATTCGCCCTGAGAGGAAAGCCCCCTAAAATGGCTGGGAAGTGTGGAGCCGAAGTGTTTTAAATTGGTGCCAACACCACAAATGATAAAGGAGTCCAAAAAGGCAACAAACAACACCAGTCATAATCTCTCTCTCTCTCTCTGAAATTGAATAAATACTTTGTATTTGGTTGAATTGTCAGTGCCATGTGTCAAACATTTTCTGCAAGTCTCAGTAATTAATGATTACTGAGGCTTTAGTAATTAAAGTAATTATTAGGAATAATTAAACTAGGCCTATGTATTTCTGTAGCATGGAGCCATCACAAGAACTGGGCCCATCAAGTTTGCCGCCTGAAACATCTGCTACTCAAGACAGCCCGGCGGATCAAACACCATCCGCAGGACCTGCTCCGTCAGCATACCTGCAGGAGAGAAGATTGCAACTCACAATTGATGTGTTTGAACAACAACAACAACAACAAAAAAAAGTTCTTTCCCTTAGAAGGAGAGTACTACCGCCTTAAAAATTGAACACCTAAAAAATTAGCCACTTAGAGATTGTGTTCTCCGTCTTGCATTTAACAATTGCAGGTGATGTGCAGTAAAAGTGTGGTAGTTCTTAATACCATCACAAGTTCTCAAATGACATGGGGCTACAGCTTGCCTGAAATGTAATTTTGTGAAGTTTGCCCTGTAAGGCAGTCCACTCTGGGATAGGTTCCCCTGTGGAATATCTTCTTCATCACCATCCTCCAGAGGTTCTGCAATCTGTCTAACCTTGCAAATATTGTGTAATATAGCACAGGCTATGATGACTTTGCTGAGTTTTTCAGGCCTCAGCCGCACCTCTCTGTGGAGAACATGAAAGTGCCTCTTAAGCTGGCCTATGCCACGGTCCACCACCGCTCTTGTTGTCTTGTGGGCCCTACAATAGAATACAGACCTTTAATTATTTGATGGAAATATTGCACTACTTGGATGCTCTAACATATTGCTTGCATTTTATTTCCATGATTTTTGTATTGTTTGGCTTACCTGTTATAGTTTAGTTGGGGCCCTTGGCGTGGTTGGAGGTAAGGTTTAAGGAGCCATGGTTTGCATGGGTAGTGGCAATTAGCTGGCACATAGCGTCTCTCAAAAAGCTGTCTGATGCCACTCTCGGAGAGCATTCTCGCATCACGTGTGGAGCCTGGCCATTTAGCCACAATGTCCAAAATCTTACAGGCCGCATTGAACACTATTTGCACATTGATGCTGTGGAAATTCTTCCTGTTAACAAAGACAGCCTCGTCCTCTGATGGTGCAATTATTCTCACATGTGTTCCATCAATTACAAACCGAATTCCATAAAAGTTGGGACACTGTACAAATTGTGAATAAAAACAGAATGCAATGATGTGGAAGTTTCAAATTTCAATATTATATTTAGAATACAACATAGATGACATATCAAATGTTTAAACTGAGAAAATGCATAATTTTAAGGGAAACATAAGTTGATTTTAAATTTCATGGCATCAACACATCTCAAAAAAGTTGGGACAAGGCCATTTTTACCACTGTGTGGCATCCCCTCTTCTTTTAATAACAGTCTGCAAACGTCTGGGGACTGAGGAGACAAGTTGCTCAAGTTTAGGAATAGGAATGTTGTCCCATTCTTGTCTAATAAAGGCTTCTAGCTGCTCAACTGTCTTAGGTCTTCTTTGTTGCATCTTCCTCTTTATGATGGGCCAAATGTTTTCTATGGGTGAAAGATCTGGACTGCAGGCTGGCCATTTCAGTACCCGGATCCTTCTTCTACTCAGCCATGATGTTGTAATTGATGCAGTATGTGGTTTGGCATTGTCTTGTTGGAAAATACAAGGTCTTCCCTGAAAGAGACGATGTCTGGATGGGAGCATATGTTGTTCTAGAACTTGGATATACCTTTCAGCATTGATGGTGCCTTTCCAGATGTGTAAGCTGCCCATGCCACACGCACTCATGCAACCCCATACCATCAGAGATGCAGGCTTCTGAACTGAGCGCTGATAACAACTTGGGTTGTCCTTGTCCTCTTTAGTCCGGATGACATGGCGTCCCAGTTTTCCAAAAAGAACTTCAAATTTTGATTCGTCTGACCACAGAACAGTTTTCCACTTTGCTAGAGTCCACTTTAAATGAGCCTTGGCCCAGAGAAAACGCCTGCGCTTCTGGTTCCCGTTTAGATATGGCTTCTTTTTTGACCTATAGAGTTTTAGCCGGCAACGGTGAATGGCACGGTGGATTGTGTTCACTGATAATGTTTTCTGGAAGTATTCTTGTGCCCATGTTGTGATTTCCATTACAGTAGCATTCCTGTGTGTGATGCAGTGCCGTCTAATAATTCCCTGTCAACCAGTGTTTGCAGGACATCTCTCCTGTGTCCTCTGTTGGCCATTTTGTGCAGCTGCTTAGGGGAACTCCTAAGCCACTAAAAGTCCTCTTCCCTGCTCTTAACAGATCTCACCTTAGGCCCTTTTAAGCCCTAGGAATCTTGAGGAATAGCTTTTATATTAACTGGGATTTTCGTGTCACTTTTAGGGGAAATTCTAAGAAAACTTTATGACTGAGAATTTTCTTAGAATTTGGGCGCCAGGAGCCACTTTTTGCACAAAAATTCTTTAGGGATACGGTTTAATAACCCATTTCCGTCAGTTTGGATGTGGACAAGTGGCCTTACCATTCCCTACATATTAAACGGACATTATCACATTTACCTGGTAAAAAGCAAAACACAGCAACAGGCACCGCCTCATCTCATTTGATTTTTTTGTCTACATTTCCATTATGTTTACACTTCTGAATCTCAGGGGGAACACACTAATCTCAATATCGGCAGAAGAAACGGTCATTGAACAGCGTTACATTAACTTAATTTATAGAAAATGTCATTTTAAAATGTTTTTCCTCTGCAATAGCTTTTAGCAATCATTTCAGATTACTAGGGCCAGAAGTTTGCCCAGATTTTATAGATGGATGAGGCTCCTTTTCAGAAATATTTACAAAAATAATTGATTTCCTATAGATATTGAAAGCCATAAACACAACACATTACAAATACAACAATTTATTTGGAGAGGTTTTATATAAGGAATGTCAAGGTTGCACAGCAAATTAACGTTTTACTTGAAATAATAATGCAGACAGAAAACAAGGTTCTTCCTTTGGTTTCCCACAAATATCACAAAATATCTTCAAAAATCAGGTACACTCTATTTGACCCTCTCAAATAATCAACAAAAATGTGTATTGTTCTTTCAAAACACTAATATACTTTACATTTCACGAACTTTGATTTGGATCTGAATAGGATTGTGAGGTGTCTTCAATTAGACAATAGTACACTAAGGATATTTGTAATATACACTCAGCATAACAACACAACATCACTGTCTCAATTAATATTGACTTTGTGACTTTCATTTAATAGCCTTGCTTGCATAAAAAAGGGGTATGGCGGAAATGGCTGTATGACTGCATAGTCATAGATAGAACCAAATAAATAGAATAGATATCATTGTGTTTGGAATAAATAATAACCTAAACCGACAAAGAACTGCCCAAATAATTATTTTTTTTAAGTTCTTAAACTGTTAGGAAACAAAACTGTCAAACAATGATTTTTTCGGAACCGTTTTATAAGGAATAAATAATAACCTAAACCGACAAATAATAAGAACTGCCCAAATAATATATATTTTTTTTAAGTTCTTAAACTGTTAAGAAACAAAAGTTCTTTGTAACCAAACAGCTAAAAAGTGATTAATTATATTCCTTCCTGTTATCTATCAGTAGAGAGTAATGCCATGCTTGCCTTGCTTCTCAAGCCAATAGCACTTCTATAACTTACTGCAACAAGCACATTGTGTATATAACCGACAAAATACAAATATGCCCATGAAACTATGTACAGCAGAAACCAGAAGTTTCAAAAATAAAACAGATTCTTCCATTAAATTACCTATTCTCTGTGCGCATCCAGCATGAAGCCAGCAGAAGTTCAGGGCAACAAGGTGCCGTCCTGCTTGCTTCTTGATTATCAACGCATAAAACGCAACATAAAGGGTGTGAGCGTCAACACACATGTGAACATCAAAATATATATATTTATATAATATGGACAGGTTTATGAGAGCACAACAAATACACGTGCTCACAGAGCTTTAAAAGGTAGCAGCAGCAACTCTCAGCAAAACCTCAGAGAACAATGAGCAGGTTAATATAACATATGTAATATAATGTGGAGTGATATTCATGAAATCTGGACGCAAGCAAACATCAAATCCAAGCAGGTGGGATATACAACAAAAGTAATGGTAATAATGTGACATTCAAAGATCAAGTTAAGATAGTTTCTTGAAAAAATGTTACAGAAATAAAAAAATCAAACCCTTGTAAATGTCTTCAGACCAAGACGTATTCAATTGAGATTTAAAAAAAAAGAAAACGATCATGACAATATTTTTTTTGTCATATATAAACCACTGAAATAAAAATGCAATATTTACTTTTTTGTCTGAGAGCCATAAGGTGATAATGCTTCAAATAATTTCACAGTGATAAAACGACATTCACAGGACGGTACACAGACAGGCCTTTTTGGACTGGTTTACATGAGATGCCCATGAGGACAACAATCTTACCATGACTCACGAGTGAAATGAAGCTATACTGATCTGCGAAGCAGGTTGTTCTTGTCAGGCTCAAGAAACTCTTCAACTAAAGCAGTGGTCACTTTTCTTAACTCCTCCTCCAAACAAGAGAGATCACTGCAATACAATTCAAAAAGACATACATAAATATATGCAAGGAGACCATGCAATTTGATCTAAGAATCGGGAAAATCTGGTAAATTCTGTAAGATAATACAGATAATACTTGGCTTCAAAAAGTATAAGGATAAGCCACACATGTGTGAATGGCATTGTATTAGATCTCCCAAAAAATTAAGCTCGACTTTCTCCAAACCATCTTTAAATCACATGAGCCAGTTTTGCAATGACATTTAATGAACTGGACAAAGTAGTGTCAAATACTCGAGATCACACAGGTGTCCCAACTAGTTATCACCTTAACTATGGATATGCTCCAAATGCATTTTCTTTAATCTGAATCCTTTTTGGGTACACTTTATTTCGATAGTCCACTTAAGACATTCTACTTACTATAAATACCTTTGCAACTACATGACAACTAACTTTGAAGACAACATACTTTAAAGGTAATTTGCAATACGTCAACTAGCTCTCAGAGTGGTAATAGACTGTTAGGTTACGGTTAACCCCTTGGGGACCAAGGTGTATTTGGGGTCCTTGAGATGTTCTGCCATGTCCTGACATTTGTGCTTTTTCAGTTGCTTATAAACATATGAATGACACAGGTGAAATTACACTATATTTAGCACAACCAGGGCTACCATAATATGTGAGCAACATGTATGTACATGCTTGTATTTTTGAGAGAATATTGTTTGTACCACATGACTAATGGATGATGTGGCCTAGTTTTTTTCTTCACAATGATCTGAAAATCATCCTGCCTTATCTTTCACATAAAACTGTGAATTGGGCTATATTGTGAAAAACATTTTTTGTTTGCCAAGGCAATATGCGAAAGAGCGTGAACAGGCCAGCCCTCATGTCTAATTAGGTGATTCTCACCTGAGAGAGACAAAGACACACATATATCCAGTACCAATAATACCATCCATTTTAAAACTTCTAACAGAACATACAAACCGTTCTCCTGGTGGTGCACAGAATTCTGTGTAATACTTGATCTTTGGCTCAGTCCCGCTGGTCCTAAGCGTGGCAACAATGCCATTCTGAAATGTGAATGTAACCATTTGGCTATTTTTTGTTAATGGAAGGACCTATAAGGAGATATTAAAAGAAAAATTATTCCAATCAAACTGTTTGCCATTGACCTAAAATCAAGAAATATACAGGAGATCTGCTATGACATACGCATTTTTTGTCAAGCTGACTGCTGTCATAACCAGTGGTCACATCTCTGATGTGTGTGATGCAGTAATCACCACATAATTCTGGGTATACACCCGGGCCTCCGAAGTTGCGCAGACGGCTAAATATTCTGTAAATAGTGGGTGGGTCACTGCAGAGGACATAGGATGTTCTGGAAATGTGATAGCCATATCTGGGGTCCAACAGTGAAGAGAACAATTACGATCAAAGTAAAAATGTGAAAGCGATGGTACAGAATAGTTCTTTGAAATCTTCAATAAATAATTAATAAGTGTTTAATAGGGATGGGCAACGATTAATCGCATCCAAAATAAAAGTTTGTGTTTACATAATATATGTGTGTGTAGTGTGTATAATTAATTTGTATATATAAATGCCCACACATGCATGTATATATTTAAGAAAAATGTGTTCTTAATATATCAAATGTATATATTTAAGAAAAATGTGTTATTAATATATCAAATATTTATATTTATATATGATATTAATTGTGAATAAATATATATAAAATATGTACATGCACATATCTCTTAAATATATACATGCATGTGTGGATATTTATATATACAAAATAATTATACACACTACACACACATATATTATGTAAACACAAACTTTTATTTTGGATGCGATTAATCGTTGCCCATCCCTAGTATTTAATAAAGAAAACCAAAGAAGTGTAGCAGAATAGATGCTCACATTTCATAGATGTTGCATAGTTGTTGGTTCAAGGAAAGGTTTTTGGTGTGCAGATAAGCAGCCATCTCAGCCACAACAGCTGATGTACTGACTCCATCCTTATCAAGAACCATGTTCCCACACAAAAACCCTGGCATCATAAATAAAGGATGAGACATAACATTATTGTTCCATAATATATAGTATTGTTTTGAAGCCAATTGAGTTTGTATGGGAAAAAAATACAAGCCCTGTTAAATTTCCAGCAAATTCACAACCCATTGACAGAGGAAGTTTAAAATAGATCAGACGTTATCCTTTGGGAATCGATTGGATTATGAAATGTGTGTTATACAGGAGAAATTTGAATATTTAAATTGTTTTGTCCACACAGAGTCAATGTGCTTCAAAACAACTGGACCCCACTGACTTTAATTGTATTAATTGCATCCATTTTGGATGACCAATCCCTCTAATTTAAAGAGTAAACAAACATTGCTTGAACTTCATATGTATCTGCAGTTAAACACTTACCAATGGATTCTTCAAAGGAAAAAATGACCTCCTTTCCTGCTTTTGCTAATTCATGGATTCTATTTCCAATCCATTTGAAGCCAGGCAATGTTTCCTAGGACGAAGGAGGACAAAGTAAAAATACCGAAGTTCAGTAAGAAGTTCAATTATTCAGCAGTGGCCTTGTATTTTGTTTAGCAAACCAATTCATCCAGATTTCAAATCTGAGGGGACGTGCTACACTAAGGGGTATGTGGGCATTTTTAGAGAAAAAGTGAATTTTTAAATAATATTTTATTGGGTCTTTATAGACGAATCCGACGAGCGTTCTGTGTAGGCTGCCATCTTGTGGCGACGCCATTACTATTACACAGGCATAGACATATGCACCGGTATGTAAACAAACCTCGGTGATAACGCGAACTCACCCTCGATGACAGCTACAGCCAGGCAGAATGACTTGTTGGGTTGATCTGTGACTGCAGTGGCCCCCAGTCACAGATGAAGGTACAAACGATCTTACAGATTAACGTGATTTATGAAAATAGCTTGGCAAGCTAGCTAGGCTAACGTTTGCTAACAAGGAAACTATAAAAAGATCTGTCCATTTGGCAACAATAAATAAATAAATGAATGAAATCAAATAAACAAATTCATGTTTTTCATTTGTGTCCATTATTTATCTCATTTTCACATTGCAACAGGCAAGGGTAAGGTAACGTTACAGCTAGAAAGTATACATAATATCGACCAATTAGTGTTTTTAAACCATGGAAAGAGGTCAATATAACAGCAGGAGAACAATTATGTCACATAACGTTACATTTAGCTCAGGAAAGCCATTTAATGACCATAGCATGTTAATTGAATAGAAAAAATAGCAAGAGAGGAGATTTTGCTGATCACTATATCACATATTTATTATATTTTTTTTACTTATGTCATTAAATAATTGTTATTATACGCGAATGTCCACGTCTTGTACTCGCCCAGGAAATCTGTGTAAACCGTACGGCTCCAGACAGGGGCAGTCGACCCGGGGTATTCACAGTGTTTTCTCTTCAAAATTGAAATTTTACTGCCACCATTGAAACAATTTATAACGGAAACTGTTTACCCACTCGATATTATACAAGGGCTAACGTTGTAACGTTAGTGACAGTCGGAAATCGCGGGCTGTTTATTCCAGTGGACGCAAGTTGCAACTAAAACAATAGGAGGCAATGGCGCAACGCTACCCAGCAACAGCTCAGTAATGGCGCCCCGCTTACTTCCGGTAGTTTCGCCGGATTCGTCTATACATAAAAAAAAAAATGATAGCTGCCTTTTCAATTTAAGGATGCGGCCCTTGTATGAGCATCAAAACCCCGTTTTAGATCATAATCCCCATTCAAGGATAATAAAGCACGCAAGATATTTTAAGCCTTAATACAGTGCAAACTTCAAATTGAGACTTGAACTGACCTCAAAATGAAAGCCTTCAATGCGTGCAAAGGCTTTAAGTATTTTGGAAGAAACGGTGGTGGCCAGCATGTATACTCCCTCAGTGTCTGCTGGGTCAGGATGTGCTTCCTTCCAGTTAAACAACATCCACCAGCCGAGCAATGCAGCCAGCTCATTTCCCGTGAACACTTTCCAACTGCAACTGCCCATAAAAAAAAGAACACTACTTACTTAACTCGAGAGTTCAGAACAAGTATTGTCAAGTAGACCTGACACTTTACGTTTTACTGCTGAGGGTATTAATGATAAAGTACTTGTCATTCAGCTCCGCAACAGCCAAGCGATCAGCATCGGGGTCTGTGGCCACGACAATGCGAGCCTCTTCACTCTCGGCCAAACGAAGAGCCAGCTCCTTAAACGGTCAGTGCGACACAACTCAATGTTTACAGTATGTCCGCATGTTAAATAAGCATTGTTTTACCCTTCACTGTGCTAGAACCAAGGGGGCATGGTTTGGCAAGCTGGTTTTGGCAGAACCCTTGAGCTTTCAAAGACAAACTAATTAGAAAATAAATAAGCCAATATGCTCATGGTTCCACATGTATATATTTTTTATGGTAATTAATTACATTTCATAGATATTTCGAATTATGTAACTTATAAATATAAATATAAAGATTTTACCAAAACAGCTTCTCCTTCCTCTGGGTTGGGACAACTGACAGTGGAAAATTCTGGATCTGGATCTTTCTGTTCCGGAACAGGGATAGGAGGTGGGAAGCCAAACTGCTGAAAAGCTCTCTGGACAAAGTTGTGACCAACACCATGGAAAGATGAATGCACAAACTTCAGGGGAGACTTTGTGTTAAGTTCTCTGAAATGAGAGAGGAAAAAAAAAGGTCACAATCCAACAACCGCCTGTATGTTACAACACACACTTGAAAAATACTTCTAAATACTTAGTTCCACTGACCAAAATAAATTTAGACAGATTGTAGTGTTTCTTAAAGTCACCAAGAAATAAAAATTGACCGTTCTTATCTTGCATGAAATATTGCAGTATTTGTTATCAGTGATTTATCGGTGCACACACACACATAAATATATATATATATATATATATATGAAGAGTTCAGATGCAAAAGCCTCCTCTAAGTGCCGTTTGAAATTTTCTTCTAGAATGATCATTTTTATCAAGCTTGTATATTGAAGTTCAGTGATTTCACTTAAATGGCAATGATAATTACCTATTAATTGTTATTTAAGTGAAATTACTGAACTTAAATATACAAGTTTGATAAAAATCATCATTAAAGAAGAAAATTTCAAATGACTTTGAAATTAATGTTTCAGCTTACCTCAAGGGCATCCAAAATGTAGGTGTCTTTGTTTCCGCAGTATTTTTAATTTTGATATTTTTAGGTCAAACCGTTCTTGTCGGTCAGTCATATAATGCAGGTCTATGGTCACCACCTCAAAGAGCATGCACAGAGAAGTCCAAATTAAACATGATTGAATGACTCATAAATTGAAGTACACATTGATGGCATAAGACACGAAACAAGTGGTTTGTGTGAGAAAACGAACAGTATTTATGTGATCTCCCGCACGTGTACGTCAATCATTGTTTACACTGAGATTTCGGAAGTGTTACCCTTCACTGTGAAGATCTAAACAGGAGCTTTGTGGCTGTGGTGACAAGAGGTAAAAACAATATAAAAACTCTTCGTTTTCCCACACAAACCGCTCGTTTCGTGTCTTAGGCCATCAATGTGTACTTACATTTATGAGTCATTAAATCATGTTTAATTTGGACTTCTCTGTGCATGCTCTTTGAGGTGGTGACCATAGACCTGCATTATATGACTGACAGACAAGAACGCTTTGACCTAAAAATATCAAAATTGAAAATACTGTGGAAACAAAGACACCTACATCTTGGATGCCCTTGAGGTAAGATAAAACATATCAAAATTAATTTCAAAGTGAACTATCTCTTTAACTGAAGTTTTTTGGGAAACCAAAAACGGTTCATCTATATCATTGTTTCAAAAAACACTCTTCGGTTCTTCTTGGCACTTTGTTACAGTTTAAAAACACCAACAGTACACTCTCTTAGTACAGGCGGGAGACTGCACCTGTGGAAGCAGACAGTGTTTAGCTCTTCCATGTACCAGCGGCAGACGTCCTCCAGTGGGTCACTCCTCAACAGGCTGCTCTCAACTAGGTCCACATTCCAGGACTCTTCCCACGGTTCGGTACTCTCCTCAATGCAATGCAAGATCTCCTTATCGTGTGGCGAGGAGATCTGTGCCCCATTGTGCCAATAAACCTACAGAAAAACCACAAGGTTGAAGTAAACCAACAGAAAAACCACAAGGTTGAATCACATCAATTGAATCCTGTTCTGAGGAATGTACAAGACTTTCAAAAGTCACTCACACAAGCGTTTGCCTTTGCCTTTAACAAAAATACCACAGAAAAAACAACTATACAAACTAATATAAAGTTCAAGAGTTATTAAAGAAAAGTATAGTCAGAAAAAATAAGAACAAATAAATACAACTGAATAAATAAAATATGTTTTTTTTTAGTTTCTCAGGTAGGTCTAGTGCATATGAAGAGTTCAGATGCAAAAGCCTCTAAATGCCATTTGAAATTTTCTTATTTAATGATGATTTTTACCAAACTTGTATATTTAAGTTCAGTAATTTCACTTAAATAACAATTAATAGGTAATTATCATTGCCATTTAAGTGAAATCACTGAACTTCAATATACAAGCTTGATAAAAATGATCATTCTAGAAGAAAATTTCAAATGGCACTTAGAGGCATCTGAACTCTTCATATATTAAAATCAAATGCCATCAAATGTAAAATAACATGGCCTTGTCTTCACATTATAAAAACTTTACATTCACTTAAGACAAAACCAGCTGTTTGAAAGGATATTTTGACAATTTTGTGTATGTTTGTCCATTCAAGCGAATGAAGAGCGTCAGTTCAGTATTTGTGTACTAAATGAAAAGCAGCTGTCGGTGCGCACACATAAAAAACTGTGTGAATAAAGAATCTTTCACATTTTCTTGTGCTTTAAAAAAATACGCACAAATAAATTGATAGGCGGAATCTACATTTTTCATTGTTTTTTTCCACCACACGTGAAGTGTGTACCAATATTAAAATGCAATGTTAAGTCTCAGAAGAAGGATCAAGGACTCCTTATTTTGGTTTTATATTAATAAAAGGGGGGCATGTCTGACAATAGACACTTACTTTGCCATAACAGCATTACTTTTTGAACGTATAAGAACCACATATACAAAGTAGGAATTTTCATTTTGGGGTGAATTATACTTTTAAATTTGCTAGGATATTGAAAAACTAAAAAGGTTAGTTTTAACTTAATTTTACAGTTTCAAGGCAATTGTCTTACTGTGATGCAGCAGAATGATCTGAAATAACTGCAGGTTGGAATTATTGAAGTGAATTTATTAACAGCTGCTTACCTTGTACCCATTGTCCTCTTTTCTGTTATGAGAAGCAGTGATCATGACTCCAGCTGCAGCTCCATACTTCATCACAGCATACGGCTGGAGGACAAAAAAAAAGGAAAGACAATCCAGGGGATTCAAGATAACTTTCACTCTCTTTTCTTTATTATCATTGCTCCAAGGGGTAATACAACTCTGTTAATTAAAACAAAATCTATCAATATCATTTTCTTACCACAAATGGGGTAGGCACATATGTAGAGAACAAATAGACAGGGATATCTTTACAAAGCATAACAGCTGCTGTCAACCTTGCAAGCCTGCAGATAAACCAAAGGGTGGGAAATGTTATTTACACTGTTTTATCTGATGTAACAGAAAAATGATTTATCACAGCAAATGTAGTGTACTGTTATACAAAAACATAACTCTAAAATATAGACGCAATCAGCAATTAAATGAAGAATACGAGATCAGTCTGCAACAATTAGTAAAGACATTTTTAGATGCATTTTAGGCAAAACAGCAGGAAAATCATAAATACAAATATACAATCACTAGTCATTTGATTTAATTGCTTAGAACTTTGGACCAAAAGGTGGCGCTGTTACCAAATTGATGTGTGGTCAGTGTTTGGTGACAATGACACATTCAAAGTTTGGTGTCCATATGCCCAAGTGTTGATTCTAAACTGATTTTGTTAAAATCAGACCAACTGTCTAGGTTGGAGACTTTTTTTTTTTTTTTTTTTTTTTCAAAAAATGGCAGACAGCAAGTTGGTCTCATTGTTGTTCTCAGTATGACTCAAAGAATCTATTAAGGCCAGTTTCATTAAAATATGAAAAATTAATCAAAAGCTAAAACATATATAAAACACACACACACACACACATATATATATATATATATATATATATATATATATACATACATACAAGTGCCACTTTGGACAGTTGGTGGCGCTGAAGGGATTGAGTCAGAGACTCCAACATTGCTGTGGTTAATATTCAGACTAGAGCCCGACCGATAAAGGATTTTGAAGGCCAATACCGATACAAATATTTTTTGGTTTTAAAATCCGATATGCCGATATATCGGCCGATATTTTTTGTTTCAGAATGGCGCAACAAAACAGATTTCCCTAACATTAGTTATTTGTAGTTATTTAAGAGTTAACCAAAATAATATGATAATGCATTTTAAAAAGAAACTTCCTAAACGTTTCTTTTATTGTCAAAACAGAACAAACTGACGATAGTGGCATTAGCTAGCTTTATGGTTAGCTAGTCTATGATGAACCATAATTTAGCAATGAATAACGTTATACTGCAAATTTTAAAACATACATTTTCAATATAACTGGCCAAGGAAACTTCCGCCGGCCACAAATTGTGTCATGCTTATTTGAGTTAAGAGAACTAATGGGGATGTTCTTTTAATTGTTATTCAAGCAATGTATGTATCGTGACCAACTCAACGAGTGTTGGCAACAGGGACGGTGTAGAGTGCCCTCTGGTGAACAAACTACACAACACTCATGACATGTTTCAAGCGTGTTTCGTCCGTTTTTATTTTATTTTTGAAATATTAATTTATCTGCCATTATAACTGCCGATACCAATAGTTTGGAAAATGCCTAATATCGGCCGATAATATCGGTCTGCCGATATATCGGTCTGGCTCTAGTTCAGACTCTCCTCTATCAGTGTGCCCAATTTCACAACTTTAAAACATACGGTTCTATGGGCTAAGACAACAACTAACAGATACAATAGATGCCACTGCACCTTCATCGCTTGGCCCAAGTTTAAGTTTGTATGACCCAAAATTCCTGTCTTATGTCTAATCTGGTTATAGCAATTATGGCGCTTTTCCACTGCTGGTATATATGGCTCGGTACGGCGCAGTACGATTCGTCTTGCTTCTTTCTTTCTTTCTTTCTGCTAGTCGGTCAAGCAAGTAGTTTTAAAAACTGGTGCTACAGCGGTGACTGTTAATGACTATTTAAATCTAGCGGGTTTGATGTCTCGCAGATAGAATGACACTAGTAGAGATGATTCTGTCTGACTAACCAATCAGTGATCTGCAGTGTGTTCACGTCACATTTTAGTATCAGTACAGTACGCTTGGAACCTCAACAGAGGTGGTACCATTTAAAGCGAGCCGAAGTGAGCCGTACCGTATCATGCAGAGGAAAAGCACCATTACCTAGCCGTAGTGCTGTAGCGGCGCGTCGATGACGCCGATTATTCGAAGTCAAAATTGCGTCGACGTCATATTTTTGCGTCGACGCTTCTTTATTTATTTATTTTTTGCATGTTCCCGGCGGTACAGCTTGCCACACACACATGGGAGACCGAAACATTGCAGAATAGAGGACGAAGACAACTAGAAGTGAATGTGCTATCCATTAAATGAATCACACACAGTAAACAAACCCTTAAGAAAATAAATTGCAATTTAGATGCGCAAACTGGGTGCCGGTGTGGTGAGACGTACAAGCTCGGGCAGATTCGGCTTGAAGTCGCTTCCGGTAGCGGCGCCGGGCACGCTGTTACAAAAAAGGTGTACACACAGCCAGCCACAGTCTTCCTGGTCTTGCGCACCAACGCGTCATTTTTGCCGTGCGCACAATCGCGCTCGTGCAGACGTGTCGAGTATAAACAAGGCTTTACTCCGTGTCAGCACGCGCTCTGATCAGTAGGTGCACAAACCTCTCCCGATTCATCTCCAGTAGTAGCAGACTCCGATCGCACCACTAACTCCGCCTCCGTTTCCCTCCTCAGCTGATATTAAAAACATTCTCTATGTCAGAAAGTCCGTCTCGGAACGGAAAACAAGCAGTGGTCTGACGGACTCTTATCATAGTTGCAACTTCCTGCAGGCTGATGCAAAAGCCAGTTCCAGCCTGATATCGCTGTTTTCCCTGATATTGTGCAATGTTGTGCGTTCATGCAACAAATACCACAACATAACATGATTGCATCATATAACTCTCCTTACCATCCTGAGAGTGTATATGGATGTCACTTACTGCCTGACGAATATCATTAAGAGAAGTTTGATGAAGATATACTTCTCCTGTGCCTGATTCTCTTACCGGAATCACTGTCCATATTCGTCCGCCTACAGAACTGTAAATTCTCAAACGTTGCTAGAGGTGCTACTCTGCAATAATTGGTCCTTCGAGCCGGATTGGCAACAGTAAACAGTATGGACACAGCAGCTAGCGATGCATCAGAGACAGTGGTGAGACCTAAGAGACAGAGTAAACTGCCTTCCCATCTGGGTGTCTATGAGGTTGGCTACATGCTTTCTGGGGACCCTCCTCCAACCACTTCTTCTCGCTGTCACAGCCAACGTAAGAGCCAGTCGAGGAAAACGTCCCATAGTAAAGCCAGCTCCCATTCCAGATCCAGTAGTCATTCCACTGTGTCTGGTGTCCAAGCTACATCTGCACTCACAAGTAGTCAGGCAGCTATAGTGGAGGAGAGAATAAAACAGCGGCAGTATGATGACCTACTTCAGCAAATGGAGGAGGACACACTGGCAGAAATAGAGTTCCAGAAATTACAAACCCAAGCCAAAGAGGCACAACGTGTTCAAGAAGAGGCTCTCATGGCAAAGGAGGCCTTATCTAACCAGTTAGAAGGACGGCGCAAGCTGAAGAAGGCGGAAGCTGATCTAGAAGTGGCCAAGCTGGTGAGTTCTCTGCTCAGCCAAGACACAAGTTTGACTAATCCAGAGCATCAAGCATCACCAGACACAACTGGGTTACCATCACAGTTTCATCATGCCAGCCCAGCCCACTCACCTGTATTTCAACAATCTTCCTGTCACTCCTCTTCCATGATGCAAGCCACACAGACGGTTACAGAGGTACAGAGCACATTAAGGGACACACACACAGTTCAGTCAACACCCAGGCTACCTTATTTGTCACTACAATCGACTATACCTGCTCAAGTTCCAGCTCTCACAGCGCAATTGTCTTCATGTGTAATCACTCAAGTCCAAGGGGGACCACATATCACATCTGGGAGGACATATCACCTGTTCCGAGGCAGTTCAGCTCAGTATCAATGCCACTACCTCAATTCAACCCCATGAAATCAGCAGCAAGCCAATTTGTGACCCCCCACACGGTTAGTGTTTCGATATCACAGCCAGTGCCTCCTGTTGCAACCACTGCGTTAACTTCAAACGTGCACACTCCTTTGCCAAGCCGTGTAGCCCCACCTATCAGCCAGAATCAGCCTTTTCAAGCCCCTCAGCGTCGAGTGACAGTTTCATCTACTGCACCCATCTGCCCTCAATCTTATCCACTTGTTCCCCAAACTGGTTATGTACCTCAACCCGGAACAGAGCTTCTGATGGCAGCAGCCTACGGCATTCCTCGGCCCACACTACCAGTGTTTGAGAGCGGTACAGAAAGTGACTTTGCTTTGTTAAAACTGGCCTTAGACAATCTATTAAGTCACCATACTCACATCACTGAGCAGTACAAATACCAAGTGTTACTGAGCCACCTGAAGTTTGCTAGTGCTCAGCAGTTGGCTAAGGCATATATGCACCACCCACAGCCATATACCGCAGCCTTACAAGCTTTGCAGGAGAAGTATGGCCAGCCTAGACAGCTTGTTCAATCAGAATTAGGTGCTATTATGAGTACTCCACCACTCAGAATGGGTGATACCAATGCCTTTGATTCATTCGCCTTATCTGTGCAATCCCTGGTGGGCATGCTGAGGACGCTGGAGGGACAGTACGGATATGAGTTAATGTGTGGATCTCATGTGGATCGTCTTCTGGGAAAGATGCCACCCGCTTACCGAGATGGCTTTGTAGAATACTGTTTAAGCCATGGTATCCTTCAAACTGGTACGGATAGGACCTACACTCTTCCCGACTTAGCGGCTTGGTTACAAACAAAATCTCAAGCAAAGCGCATCTCGAGTCAGGCTGCTGCTATGTTTCAGTTTGACACAAAGTCACCTGTAAAGAGTAAAGGCACTTCATATCATCGAGAGCGTTCAACACCTGTACTTTTGACATCCGAGAGAACTGCTAAGCCTTCTGAGCTTGCTCGGACAAAAGCTGTTTCCAAGTTAAAGCCTTACTGTCCTCACTGCGACAGCCAAGATCACTTTCTAAACTCTTGTGATAACTTCAAGAGGTTGACCACCACCCAGATCATTACCTGGATCACAGAGGGTAAGCGTTGTTGGAAATGTGGTCGGAATCATCCAGTGGACTCCTGTAATCTCAAGCGTCCCTGTAAAGTCTGCAAAGAACAGCACCTGACTGTCCTACATGACTCTATCAGAGATACTTCAAAAGCAGTGTTAATGGTGAGTTTGCCATCCACTCAAATCTATCTCGACAGACCTAACCGCTCACAGAAGGTTATGCTTAAAGTTGTTAAGGTCCTCTTGCACAGTGGTGACCGAACAATAGAAGCCCATGCTGTTCTAGATGACGGCTCAGAAAGAACAATTGTTCTTCCTCCAGTAATTCAGCAGCTTGGGTTAAATGGAACTTCAGAGGTTCTCTCTCTCCAGACAATTCAACAAGGTCATACCAAACTTGAAGGGTCCACAGTTACCTTAGAAGTTTCTCCCATCACTAAACCCACAGAAAGGTATGTCATTCGTGATGCCTTTACTGCCTCTGCTTTGAGCCTTGCTGAACATAATTACCCAGTGGCAGCGCTTCAGAAAGCATATCACCATCTGAAAGGTCTACCATTGCAGTCTGTAGACAAAGTGAAACCCTTACTCCTCATAGGGTCTGATATGCCACACCTCCTGACTCCTATTCAACCAGTGCGTAGAGGAGCAAGGGAGCCCTGTTGCAATATGTACGAAGCTTGGTTGGGTACTGCAAGGCCCAATGTGTCCGATTCAGCCCCCTAAAGGCCAGCAACAATGCCTGCATCTAATGACAGCACCAGCCCGTGACGAGTTGCATCAACATGTAGAGCGCTTGTGGCAGATTGATATCTTGCCATACAACAAAAAGCTGATCACAAGATCAAAGCAAGACCAACAATCCTACAAACTCCTACAGTCTGCTACGGTCAGAGTAGAAGTGAATAATGTCCTGCGGTATGCTACCCCGTTACTGAGGCGTACTCCTATCACCTTGCTCTATGCAGGCAAAGAGGCTGTGCTTCCCAGTCTCAGAAACATTGAGAGAAAACTGGCCAAGAATCCTGAACAAGCTCAAACCTACTGTTCGGAAATTCAAAAGCTTGAATCTGAAGGCTACATTGCCAAGATAACACAAGAGGAGGCAGACAAGTCCACGGAGTCGTGGTTCATTCCGCACCACATGGTGCATCATAATGGGAAGGACCGAATAGTCTTCAACTGTTCCTACCAATACCATGGTCAAAGCTTGAATGAACAACTCCTTCCGGGCCCAACACTGGGGCCATCTTTGCTGGGCGTCATACTGAGATTCAGACAACATGCAGTGGCAGTGAGTGGGGACATAAAAGGCATGTTCCACCAAGTACGTTTGTTACCTGGTGACAAGTCGGTGCTGCGATTCATCTGGAGGAACATGGATAGGGAAGCTGACTCAGGCATCTATGAGTGGCAGGTATTGCCCTTTGGTACGACCTGCAGTCCGTGTTGCGCCATTTATGCCCTTCAGCTTCATGCCCAGGAACACCAAGATGCAATGGCTGGCTTAGCTGATATTGTGGACAACTCATTTTACGTTGACAACTGTCTTCACAGTACCCCCGACCAAAGTGAGGCTAGGGCCATTATAGATGGGTTGCGTCAATCTTTGCTAAAGGGAGGCTTCGAGATTAGACAATGGGCGTGTAATATACCATCAGTTCTCAAACACCTCCCATCGGAAGCCAGATCAGCTAGTAGTGAGTGCTGGTTGTCTCAGACTAGCACTGACATGCAAGAACCTACTCTCGGCCTACAATGGAATTGCCTCGATGACACCCTCGGGTACAAGAACCGCATTGCAGAGCCTGTTCAGCCCACTATGAGGAATCTGTACAAGACTTTGGCGAGCCAATTCGACCCCTTGGGTTTCATAGTGCCATTTACCACGAGGGCTAAAATTCTTATCCAGGATCTTTGGAAACATAACCTGAGCTGGGATGACCCTATCGAACCCATACACCTGCGAGAGATATGGTCCAAATGGGTTGCAGAGCTTTCTAGTATCACCAGACTGCAATTCCCTCGAACTTATGTGCCTGGAGGTGCTGATACTCCTTCCACTGTTCGGGAGCTCCATGTCTTTTGTGACGCTTCCGAGAGGGTATATGGTTCTGTGGCCTACCTTCGTGTCACAGATGACAGTAAAAAGGTCCATGTTACCTTTGTCCTAGCTCGATCCAGAGTGGCTCCTCGTAAGTGTCTATCTATGCCCCGCTTAGAGTTGTGCGCTGCACTCTCTGGAGCTCAGATGGCGAAAGTGATACAGGCTGAACTGACCATTCCATACACAAAGTCATATATTGGGCTGATTCAACTACGGTGCTGCATTGGTTAAAGTCGGAATCCTGCCGATACAAGGTCTTTGTGGGGTCGAGGGTAGCAGAGATTCAGACTTTAACAGATGTCACCCAATGGAGGCATGTGGACTCTGCTCGGAACCCAGCTGACCATATCACTAGAGGTCTTACCTTAGACCAAATAGCAGGTCCTCACCAATGGAGATCTGGGCCATCTTTCCTAACTGAACCACAGGATATGTGGCCATTGACACCCAGTACGGAGTCCGTACCTGACCTGAGCGAGATGAAAAGGGCATCCTTTGTCGGAGCAGTCACTGTCATTCCCAGTCCAGTGCCTTCAGACCTCAGTCAATTCAGAACCTGGAGCGAGCTAGTCCAAGCTACTGTTGAGTCCTGTAATGGGGCGGCCAACAACAACGTCTTTGAAGCCTCAATGTATACACAGGCAGAAAAGCTCCTATTAGCACAGTCACAGCTTGATTCATTCCCGGAGGAATTCAGAGCTTTGAAAGCTGGAAAGCTTATCCCGACAGACAGCCGCTTGAGTTCTCTCGCCCCAGAATATGACGAAAATACTGGTCTTATCAGAGTGGGTGGACGACTTCGTCGGGTTGAATCCCTGCCTTCTGATATCATTCACCCGATCGTCCTAGATCCTCATCATCAGGTCACAAAGCTACTCATCCAAGACATAGATCAGCAACTACATCATCCAGGTGCAGAGCGAGTGCTAGCAGAGCTACGTCGTAGATACTGGGTGCTTAGAGGCCGTGAAGCTGTGCGCAAACACCAGTATTCTTGCCAGGATTGCCAGTTTTGGCGTGCTAAGCCGCAGAACCCACAGATGGCCGACCTTCCACCCTGTAGGCTTCGTCTGTTTAAGCCACCATTTTACTCCACTGGCGTAGACTGTTTCGGGCCCTTTCAGGTAAAGATAGGTCGGCGCCAGGAAAAGAGATGGGGAATTCTATACAAGTGTTTGACAACCAGATGTTTACATCTCGATCTCCTCGAGCACCTAGATACTGACGCCTTCCTCCTTTCTTTACGACGCTTTATAGCTCGTAGAGGAAAGCCTTTCGAGATTCTATGTGACAATGGCACTAATTTTACAGGAGGTGATCACGAGTTAAAGGACGCCTTTCGTCAAATGGCTCCTGAGCTGCAGGAACAACTAGCTAAACAGCAGATCCAGTTTTGCTATAACCCACCAAGTGCCCCTCATTTTGGCGGGACATGGGAGCGAGAGGTGAGATCAATTAAGACTGCATTACGAGTCATTCTACGTGAACAATCCGTGCCTGAATCTGTTCTGCAAACATTGCTAGTGGAAGTTGAGGGCATCCTCAATTCCAAGCCCCTTGGCTATGTTTCATCGGACATTGCAGACCTTGATCCTGTGACTCCTAACCTACTACTCATGGGACGTCATGATGCTTCATTACCACAAGTTCTTTATGACTCCGACGAACTCTTGGGGAAACGCAGGTGGAGACACAGTCAGGTATTGGCCGACCAGTTCTGGACTGCTTTCATTCGCTGCTACTTACCCGAACTACAGGGTAGACAGAAATGGAGATCAGATGGCAAAGAGATTGCAGTGGGACAGGTGGTACTCGTAATTGACAATCAACTCCCACGAGCGCTATGGCCTGTGGGTATCGTGACCGAAACCTGCCCAGGGGCTGACGGGAGAATTCGAACAGCCAAAGTTCAAGTCAAAGGCAAGATCTACATGCGCCCTGTCGTGAAGCTGATTCCACTTCCTCCAATGAGGGATAATGATACAGACCCTCCAAACGGCCTTTCTTAAGGAATACAATTATCCTGACTGATAATTGGGGGCGGCTGTGTCAGAAAGTCCGTCTCGGAACGGGAACAAGCAGTGGTCTGACGGACTCTTATTATAGTTGCAACTTCCTGCAGGCTGATGCAAAAGCCAGTTCCAGCCTGATATCGCTGTTTTCCCTGATATTGTGCAATGTTGTGCGTTCATGCAACAAATGTGAGTAAATATGTTAATATTATTTAGTCAACACTTTATATCTGTTCATGTGAATGTTGGATGTTTAGCAAATGACGATCGCGATATGCAAATGACGATCGCGGAGAGGCGCTAATTCCATGGTCACGTTATTATTACATACTGCGTCATGCTGTTTATTTGTAGTTTATCTCATTATATGTTTAATTTGTTATCTGACAGTTGAGCATTCATTTGTGATGACTATTTAGTCAGTTATTGATAACTTGTGAGGTAATTTGTATACAGATATTGTATTCATACTGTATTCCTTTATTTATATATTCTACAGACCACAACATAACATGATTGCATCATATAACTCTCCTTACCATCCTGAGATTGTATATGGATGTCACTTACTGCCTGACGAATATCATTAAAGAGAAGTTTGATGAAGATGTACTTCTCCTGTGCCTGATTCTCTTACCGGAATCACTGTCCATATTCGTCCGCCTACAGAACTGTAAATTCTCAAACGTTGCTAGAGGTGCTACTCGGCAATACTTAGTATCTGATAAAATAATAAATTGGGTAAAATACATTAATACACTATATACAAAAAGCACGTTCTTATTTCATTGTAACTGTAATTATCATATTTTTAGTGTTTAATTTGCTTAAAAATAATAGTTAGATAATGTTTTAACAACTTAATAACAGTAAATATTTCTCACTTTGGGGAAACAGGAAAATGACAATAATTAATTGCTTTAAATCATTATAAGACATTAATTGCCTTCATTTTCAATGTTTCTTAAAATGTTTACTAATAATACATTAAACACACTCTCACTCACACAGTAGCCGACTATTAAATAGGTGTCATCATAGTACAGTCTACATAGATGTTGTACTCAAGTTTATTAGTTCCATGTTGCACAGTGTGATTTGCAATGATGTAATAGGATTGCCAAATCAATATAATTATTAGTCCCCCCGTAGTCAATAATTTTATCCCTTAAAGCTCATCTTTGATCATCAGATTTTAAATGTTTTGTCCTTAAAAATGTCTTCATGCCTTAAAATATCTTGAATGTAACTTGACACCCTTCCCTCATTTAGTATACACATTCTATGAATATGCAAATGAGCCCCGCCTCCACACATTGATCTGATTGGTTACGAGGTAGTTTGTGACGTCAGAAACACCAGCGTGTTTTTGAGACTTGGTTCACTGCAGCTTTAAAGAGCCCGCATTTGAAATGTTCCTATTTTTGTTTTAGGAGTTCCCAAAAACAGTTTAACGTGCATGCAAGGGTAAAAAACACTTTATTTGTCTTATAATATGAATTTAGTTTTACCCGATTTGCTCAACGACTCCCAAATGATTCGTTCGACAATTCATTTTCCCAAACACCTCCTTTGAGTGACGCGAATCTGCGGCGATTGGTCAGATGGCCCAGTCAGTTGTTATTGGTAAACCGTAGGCAGAGACTGTCGGAAACGGAACGCCCATAACCATTATAGCTCGTCAAGTGTTAAAAAATGGTATTTAGTGTTTGAACAAACGTGTCAGAAAAAGTGCACTTTCCACACGGTCCCTTACTCGCGTCCCCGTCAAGAACGAGCTTTCCCGGCGAAACTCACATTGCGGCGGCTTTTGAGGGGCAGTGCTTATTATATAGAGCGAAGTCATATTTGGCTAAGTCGTTTAGGAGGTAATTGCCGTTTTTCAATGAATGTCTGGTGAATATCAAAAACAAAACTAACTTTACCCCGCTTAGAAGCTGCGCGGAGTGTACACGACAACACACACAACACAATATAACTGTATTGTGTGCATGCGACAGAAAACATAACAGCAAACATTATTAATATTACTCACAGATTGTGATTCGAAGGAGGTCGAACCTGATCCATATACACTGGATACTGAGCCCTCCGTCAGGAACAACCGGCTTGCGAATCCACATTTGAATTCATTTATGTTTTTGAATGATTCGTCATTAAAATGATGAGAACACAAGGTTCGGGCTATACTGTTGTTGGGAGCGGCCAATGAGCTAATGTTCTGTATCTACGTCACGACGTAACAGCTAATGACTCGTTTCAAAAACAATTCATTTCATAGACTCAGAGTCGACTCTCACTTTTGAAAGACAATAACTTTATATACGGTGCACTTTCAGATATATATGTACATTTCATTCCCTTAGAGCTATATTCCACACTACATGACCAGTCATTTTCAAAAATCCATGATAGGGGCTCTTTAAGGAGAAAATACTGTGGAAAACTACAATGGTTTGTCTCAAACACCACATAGACATACTGTATAAACATAGACTTTAAGTTAGATTAAAAAAAAAGAATGATTTTACGGCCATCACTATTCCCTCTGATATAAACAGGTGTTGTTGTTGTTGTTTTTTCACTTTCATGCGGTTTAGGTGTGACAACTGCAAGAATCAGACAGAGATAGAAGCTCTCAGCGCTGCCCACGGTTCATCTGCAGTTTTCCCGAGGTGTGAGCTCTCCGTCGAGCCAGACTGTGTGGGACGAGACGCGTCTAATGCTGGACCCGCAGCTCGCACTCGAAGCCTCTCGAGTCAGGTGTTTGACGGGCTTCGAGACGCATTAATCCTGTCTGATAGACTGACGTTTCTTTTGGCTGTCCTCAAACAAGGAGCAGTTTGTGGCTTGAGTTGCAGGAGTTAAATCTGCAAAGAAACAAATCTGCAAAGTTTCAAAGTGCAGATAAATGGAAGTGTTATGAAAGAAGTGATTCTGAACTGAAACGAGTCGTCAGTATTTCCAGTCTCACTTCCTATTGAATCTGCGTATACAGATTTGCATAATGCCAATCAATGTTCTTCATCGGCTGCCGTGAACAACGTCTACTTTGACCCTCACACACTGTAGTTGTATCTGAGACGGGAAGAGTTTGGCTCGTGTTGTTCATGTGGAGAAGACGCTATTTTCTGCTGACAAAGCGAATCCACTTTGATGAGATTGAAAACGGTAAAACTGACCCTGTCGTCACTGTTCGTATCACTGAGTATCGAGAGCTGAGGAAGATCCAGAGCTGAAATTCAGATATGCAAATGAGCGTTTAGTTTCCAACCCAATCGACCATTTGACCAATCAGAGCAGAGCGGGGTTTAGAGAGACTGAATCCTTGATGTTTCAGACACTGAGAGAAAAGATGCTGCAATCAGGGCCGTACTGGGACTGAAATTCAGCCCGGGACTTTAAGATGGAGAGGCCTTTTACGCGAGTACCCTTGGTGCACGAGCAGAAGGATTTTTTGCAGTTATTTTAATTCTAATAGTGTTTTTATGGTATAAAGAGAATCAGATTATGCTGAAAACCTTCAAGCAACTTTAGGATGACACCTGCCTCCTCAGGTTGTATAAGCAAGTCACCACTGCACTGAACACAACCAGGTCAGCAAAACCTAATCTCGAACACATAAGTCACAGTGTACTGCTAACTACCAGCATGTCATGTGCACAGTCAGTTGGAGTGATAAAATAGTTACAAATACTCAAAAACTACAATGCAGTCCCATAAAATAGAGATTTGTGTGTGTGTCTCAGCTTGGCTCCCTGGCTTAGCTTCCCCTGTGATGGACCCTGCCTCTGCTTACTGATGTGCAGATACATATGCATGAGAAGAACTTCAGTTATAAATATGACTAAGAATAAAACATTTTCTAATTCAATCTGTGCTTCAGTCAGGTTATTATCTAGTATGTGGAATTATTGTCATTTTAACCTATATGTAAATATCTGATTGATTTATTTTCCTAATATGATTGCCTACCCACTGCCCCTGTACCTGTCACTGTTTTTATACTGGTTCCATTCTTCTCCTCCTGCTCTTCTTTCTCTTGCTGCTCTCCTTCCTCCTGCTCCTTCTCTCCCTCATCATCAATATGACTGCAGGGGTCATCCTCAACCTGTCCCTCTCCATCACTGACCTTAACAGCTAATATACATACAGAGATTACTTGCTTATAGAAGGATGTTGTCTGTGTGATGACACACTGCAAACTGCTCTTTATAATATATAATATATCTCTAAACATGTGAGGGATACATGGCTATAACATGATAACAGCACATTTTTAGTACATGGCTAATAAATCAATAATTTGACACAATTACACATACAGCTAATATATGTATGTACAATTATACATACAGCTAACATACATACAGAGATTACTTGCTTATAGAAGGATGTTGTCTGTGTGATGACACACTGCAAACTGCTGTTTATATATATCTCTAAAATGTAAGGGACACATGGCTATAACATGATAACAGCACATTTTTATTTCGTGGTTATCTACCAAATAAATCAATAATTTGACACACAATATTGATTTAAAAATGAGTTTACTGTTTTTTAAAAACTATTGTATTGCTTCCGCTAAAGAAAATAGTTCTGTCTATACGGTTAGAATCCTGCGTGTCCATGGCAACGCGCGGCCTGTTATCAAGCAATAACAGACCGCATTCGTGGCACGAAACTAATACAATCGTTTTTATAGCAAATACAACCGCCTCGCTCTACATTATCCCTTATATAATATATATGCCTATATTTAAATGCAAATATAAATAATTTCAGTGTATAAACGCATCACTAATTGTGCACCTGTCCTGCTGCTGGGTCCTCCTTCCTCATCTGTAACGTTACCTCCTGCCACAGCACCCTTTTCCCGGAAAAGGTCTGTTAATTTGGCGCATTTAGCTGCCTCTCGTGCCAACATTTTTTTCTTTTTCATTCTTATTTTTTCGGCCCCACCCATTTCTTTCTCTTCTTTCCTTCTTTTCAGCATTTTTAAATGTCCGTCTCTGTTGCAACTTGCATTCAAATCTCCAAACTCCTTTTCGGCGCCTTAAGTTTGAGCCAATCGGATGTCAGGAAAAACGAGGATCAGTCCAAGTTAGGAGGGGCCGCTCGTATCCCCCCTCAAGATTGAAGGCATTGGTTTGGCCTAGTCTGAAACACACACACACACACACACACACACAGTTCCGCTGCTGAGCGGCCGCAGCTGCAAACCCGCAGCACCACCAGTTTCAGAACCCCAGTTTCAGAACCCCAGCGCCAGAACCGGAAGTGAGGGGCGGCGTTAGATTCTAACCAACACCAGCGCCAGGAACGTAATTGAGGGGCGGAGCTTAGATTTGAAACCTAATAACGCCACCTAACGTAATTTGGAGGGTATTTTACACATGAAACGAAGCTTTTATTGAACAAGAAACGTCCTACTCTCTACGTATGTTATGATGCTATACATTACTGTACAATAAGCATTTTAAAACATTGATTTTGTGTAAAATAATTGTATACAGTTTCAGTTATTCGTTTCATTGTATTACGAGTTACTTCCTGATCATGATGGTGAAAAAAATAATACTTGAAACTTATGGGCATTTTAATGTAGCCTGGTTCAACCAGACTCTATTTTAATGTATAACAGTTTAATAATTTTAGCTAAGCAGTTTATACATACGTGTAGATTTAGGAAGATAAGACCATTGTTTTTTGGTTTTTATGAAGGAGTTAACTTTGTATAATAAAGCTTTGAAAGATATAAAACAAGACAATCATTGGAGGTTTTCAAAATTATACACAATCTGATAACTCATTAGACCTCTGTGATATTTTATGTTCTATTTATTTATTTATTTCTTTATTGTGTTTACAAAAATCTTAAATTGTTTTGATATTGAAGATGTATTTGTAAGATGATTTTGATTGTTTAATAAAAAATAAATAAAAAAGCATGGGTATTTTTTATAAAATATACTTTATTTCACAAGAACATGTGCAGCATGCATTTTTCGTGTAAAATAATGTCAAAATCTAAAAAAAAAGAGAAAATTCGTCATTATTTTGTTAAAAATCTATACAAAAGGACCAATTCAACCCAAGCTAGGCCTGTTTTATCACAACAATTTTGTTTAAATTTAACTTACAATGTATCAAATGAAGAACTCAAGGCCCGGTTTGTCCTTACGCTTGCTAAAATAATTATAATGCAATAATAATAATTCCGCCCCTCCTTCACTTCCGGTTCTGGCGCTGGGGTTCTGAAACTGGGGTTCTGAAACTGGGGTTCTGAAACTGGTGGTGCTGCGGGTCTGCAGCTGGATATATCTCGCCGCGCCGGTCGTTTATCATAAAATGTTTCATCCAAAAAAATATATATATCATTGACCACCGGTTCGGCCCGAAATGGACCGGCCGTTCGGGATTGTTCCCGGTATTCCCGATTGCCAATCCGCCCCTGGCTGCAATGGATATTATCAGAATATTAAAGTGTTTTTTGACCTTGATTGAAAGTAAACCTGAAAGGAGACACCAAAACAACATTAGGAACCTTTAAAATAGCATAGGGGTTGCTTGTGTGGTGTGTTTCTGTGCAGAGAGGGAGACAAATATAATGCAGTGCTCTGTGTCTCTTGCAGTTTGTCTTAGAATAGAAACTGTGTACAAAGTAAAAACACTTCTTCATTTTAGTAGGGCCAACATGGGCTCTTATCCATATGATCTTATCCAGAGTGACAGATTAAGCCATCCATTTTTTTTTCTTTTGGTCTGTTTGTCATGTGTTTCTTTATCTTTTGAATTAAACTAATGTTTTGCGTCAGGAGAGATGACCCAAATGCTGTTCCACCTTGGCAAACAAATCGTGTTGGCACAGCAAATGCTTGGACGGACACCTTTCGCTCCCCATGGAGTATCACTGGCTCTTACAGGCCTCTTTTCCAGCTGTTATTAACATCTGTCTCAGGTGGTGTTAGTGCTCGACACTAAATACGGGTGTAAACGGGGTCCACAATGTTTTGAGAGGCAGTCAAGAGCTATGTTTGTTTACGAGCACCCAAATCATTTGTTATAAAAGGATTAATGGCTCAGTTAGGTTAAAAAGCTGTCACGTAAAAACCTGAAATGTTTGCTAAAAGCATATTTTGATAAATGTGTCCATTTTCTATTTAGATAAAAGAAACAAAGAGATAATTATATATACTTGCCGAAGCTCTGAAGACATTATCACAGCTTTTTTCGGTTCTGAACACAATGACTGGCCAAGTTTGGTTTGGAAATGATTTCATGTGAATCGGATTGCAATATATTTATATAAACAGAACTTTTAGAATCTGAAATAGGACTGGAATCATTCTGACTGAAACAGAACGACTCAAACCAGATGTCCACTGGAGATATAATTTAACGCTGAAGGAAGCAGTGTTTTTGTTGATTACTACTACAGCTGCATTAAAGTGCATTATAGATATGATTCTTGGTTATTTTTATAAACTGAAGTATTCGTTTCTGACACAAACTTGATTTCTGCTTGTCTGTTTTTGTGTCGTAGATGTGATGGATCAGCACAGAACACTCCATTCTGGTTGTCTGGTGTCCGGAGTCCGAACTCCCCCCATCCGCCGCAACAGTAAACTGGCCAGCCTGGGACGAATCTTCAAGCCCTGGAAGTGGAGGAAAAAGAAAAATGAAAAACTGAGGCAGGGCTCTACAGGTGAGTTAAGAAACTACGATCTAAATGTTGAATAATAACTTATAAACATCAAATTGATCATTATTTCCCCATCAAATAAATGTTCTTGCTGTCATGCTATTTCATTATACTAATATAATGGCATATGATAAAAAATGATATTTCTAGTGTCTAATACTTATTTTACACAGTAGTTCAATAAATAAGTTAATTTTGATCAACATAAAATTCAGACACAATATGCTTTAGTTTACTTTGTCTATATTTGTAGGTCAATAATTTTCCTAATTTCTGAGCAGAATTGTAGTGGTGTTTTGTTTCTGAATGTATCAGGAGGATTGATTGAGTGAATGATTCAATGACTCATGAGGACATCTACTGTTGGAATGGAAATTACAGAAATACTCGCTGAAAAATACTCACTTTGTAGTGCGCAAGCTAACCGACAGAGAAGCGGAGGGATATAAACAGTGAAAGGTTGTTGAAAAGATTTTTGCTTGTTTTGTCAAAAGTATTTTCTTTAATTAATCGATATTATGCCACATATTTGTCTATTGACATAAACGTACCGATCCCAATTCATTAATTAAATTAAAAAAAACTTTTTAATGAAATTCTGTGTAATATATTATTACGTTTTATAAAGCAATAAGGCCCTCATTCTTAACCTTTCTGACTCTAAGGCCACCATGACAAAGACAGCATTTCAACGCTGCTCATCTTCAAACTTGTTTTATAAGTAGAAATTAGTTATGGCAATTTGTATTAGTTTAATTAAATATTTACATTGGAAGGTTATAAAATATAAATATAATAATTATAAAATGTATATTTTCTAAATATGAAATATATAAAAATTATAATTATATAAAAATAGTTTTTAGATATATTTGTATATGATTGAATTATGTTTGTATTATTATTATTATAAATAATAATAAATAAACATTAATAATACAATATTTATTATTAAAATATTTTTTGCTTTTCTATTTATATATTTAAAATTTGGTATTATTTGAAAAAATATTATGTTTATATTTATATACAAATATTATTTTATTAAAACAAATATATGTTTATATTTATAATAATATATACTATTAATAATAATAATAATTATAATAATTAGTAATAAAATAAAACTAATTCTAAATATTTAACTTATAATTATTAAAATGATTAAATGCCATAATTACAGAAGTTTAGACAACTTTTCTGATGATTTGTAATTAAATGGGTTTTTAGAACTATAATTTATTTTTAGCAGTTTCTACCTGAAAAAAAAAAATATTTTTAGAGCTTATGCTTTACATTAGTCTTTAGTTAGACTTTTATTACGAACAAAGCTTGACGAAATATCTTTAATTGCTTACGGGTGGTGGAATGAAAGAGTTCTAATGAGAAAGTGAATGAACTTTTTAATGGTGTTAAAAATTAAAATTGTTTTCATTACATAGAAAATCACATTCATTTTCAAAGCTCTTATTTTTATAAATGATTATTATTATCTCTCCAAAGTCATTAGATATCATTTTACCAACGGCAGGGTTGTTGTGTTTGTGTTTATTGAGATTCATATGTAACTTTATCTGATGGTATCTGCAGTGCTGGAGAGGAAAGTGCCCAGCAGGCAAAATCGTGAGGATCTCGTCAGAAAGGGCCTGGCAGAGGCTGGCATGGGTGAGAAACGCACACATAGCTCTCTTCACTGCACCAACACTTCCAAATTCACTGCACCAACACTGCCAAACTCACTGCATCAACACTGTCAAACTCACTGCACCAACACTGCCAAACTCACTGCATCAACACTGTCAAACTCACTGCACCAACACTGTCAAACTCACTGCACCAACACTGTCAAACTCACTGCACCAACACTGCCAAACTCACTGCATCAACACTGTCAAACTCACTGCACCAACACTGCCAAACTCACTGCATCAACACTGTCAAACTCACTGCACCAACACTGTCAAACTCACTGCACCAACACTGTCAAACTCACTGCACCAACACTGCCAAACTCACTGCACCAACACAGTCAAACTCACTGCACCAACACTGTCAAACTCACTGCACCAACACTGTCAAACTCACTGCACCAACACAGTCAAACGCACTGCACCAACACTGTTAAACTCACTGCACCAACACTGCCAAACTCACTGCACCAACACTGTCAAACTCACTGTACCAACACTGTCAAACTCACTGTACCAACGCTGTCAAACTCACTGTACCAACACTGTCAAACTCACTGTACCAACACTGTCAAACTCACTGCACCAACACTGCCAAACTCACTGCACCAACACTGTCAAACTCACTGCACCAACACAGTCAAACGCACTGCACCAACACTGTTAAACTCACTGCACCAACGCTGTCAAACTCACTGTACCAACACTGTCAAACTCACTGCACCAACACTGTCAAAAACTCACTGCACCAACACTGCCAAACTCACTTCACCAACACTGCCAAACTCACTTCACCAACACTGTCAAACTCACTGCACCAACACTGTCAAACTCACTGCACCAACACTGCCAAACTCACTTCACCAACACTGCCAAACTCACTTCACCAACACTGCCAAACTCACTGCACCAACACTGTCAAACTCACTGCACCAACACTGCCAAACTCACTTCACCAACACTGCCAAACGCACTTCACCAACACTGCCAAACGCACTGTACCAACACTGTTAAACTCACTGCACCAACACTGCCAAACTCACTGCACCAACACTGTCAAACTCACTGCACCAACACTGTCAAACTCACTGCACCAACACTGTCAAACTCACTTCACCAACACTGCCAAACGCACTGTACCAACACTGTCAAACTCACTGCACCAACACTGTTAAACTCACTGCACCAACACTGCCAAACTCACTGCACCAACACTGTCAAACTCACTGCACCAACACTGTCAAACTCACTGCACCAACACTGTCAAACTCACTGCACCAACACTGTCAAACTCACTTCACCAACACTGCCAAACTCACTTCACCAACACTGTCAAACTCACTTCACCAACACTGTCAAACTCACTGCACCAACACTGTCAAACTCACTGCACCAACACTGCCAAACTCACTTCACCAACACTGCCAAACTCACTTCACCAACACTGTCAAACTCACTGCACCAACACTGTCAAACTCACTGCACCAACACTGCCAAACTCACTTCACCAACACTGCCAAACTCACTTCACCAACACTGCCAAACTCACTGCACCAACACTGTCAAACTCACTGCACCAACACTGCCAAACTCACTTCACCAACACTGCCAAACGCACTTCACCAACACTGCCAAACGCACTGTACCAACACTGTCAAACTCACTGCACCAACACTGTTAAGCTCACTGCACCAACACTGTCAAACTCACTGCACCAACACTGTCAAACTCACTTCACCAACACTGCCAAACGCACTGTACCAACACTGTCAAACTCACTGCACCAACACTGCCAAACGCACTGTACCAACACTGCCAAACGCACTGTACCAACACTGTTAAACTCACTGCACCAACACTGCCAAACTCACTGCACCAACACTGTTAAACTCACTGCACCAACACTGCCAAACTCACTGCACCAACACTGTCAAACTCACTGCACCAACACTGTCAAACTCACTGCACCAACACTGTCAAACTCACTGCACCAACACTGTCAAACTCACTGAACCAACAATGTCAAACCTGACTCTTCCAATCTTTAAAATAGCATTGAATGGCCGTTTCTGTTTTGAAGTCCATAAAATTTCATCTATCCTTGATAAAAGTGCATCTATCCATCATAAAAGTGCATCTATCCACCATACAAGTCCATCTATCCATCATAAAGTAATTCATGGGCCAATTTGACATTTTTGGGTGAACTATTCTTTTAAGACTGGCCGGTTTTTCCCATGCTTACAGAGTCTGACCTGGCCTGTGGTGGGAACACAGACGATCCGGGAAGCCCATCTCTTGAGGACTCAGACGCCGAGGACCAAGAGGACGAGCCCATGGCGCCGCTGGCCAGCAACTCCGAGGATCTGGGATCTGATGAGGACAATCTGTCTACAGGTTGGAACTCGTGAATTTTTGGTTTATTGCTAAACTGGGGTGTGTTTCCCGCACAACGCTGTAACTCGCTGCTTATCTAATATAGTATGATGCATCAATGTAGAAATCACAAGCTAGTCACGACTGTTTCTCGAAACCATTTTGTCGCAAATTATTATTATTATTTTTTTTCCGTATTGTGGTTTAAAATGTACCCAGAAATATTTCTGCCATTTGGTAAATATCTATTATGCATGGTTTTAGGCGACTATAATAGGTATTATAGACTTCCTTAAATATTCCTTCCCTAAATATCAATAGTTAATAAATTATTTGTAATGTTTTTACAATAAAGTTATTGTATTTCAATGCTGAACTTGAACTTCAGACTCCACAAATATTTTTCTAATTTTGTGAATAAAACAAAGATTATTAGAGTACATTTTACAAGAAAATACTGTTTTAGTCTTTTCACTTTAAAATGTTACGTTTAATTTGATTAGTTTCTTTGTAATTATTTGTGAAATTTACTACCAATTTCTGAGTGAAAATGATTAAATCACTCATCAATTAGTAAATTCCACTCCATTTTTTGAGCATTTTCAGTGCATGTCCTGTTCAAACAGCCTCTTCAGAAAAGTGTGTTGTTGGTAAGGAGTAAATCCCCCATATCAAATACCCATCCAATCAGTTCCCAATCAATAAAATCAAGTCCTGTCCAATTTTAGAATAGTCTGTTTCAGAAATATGCATCATTAGGGAAGTAAAATGGGTTGGGGATACCATTTCATGTTGACTTTAACAATTCTTAATAAACTTTTGATTTGATAAGCTTGCATGATGATGATACGTGCATGTTCACTGTATCTTTTTGTGAATATGATTTTGTAAGTGATGACAGAATCAACAAGTGGGAAATGGACACACATCTGTTGTCTTGAAAGAATGAGCATCACTGATTTACCACTAGGTGGCGTCAGAGATCACAGAACGCACATTTCTGATCTCTTTTCAGTACGAGACACCACAGAGATGACGGAAACAGAAGGGGAACTTGGGCAAAGTGAGGATGAGGACAAGACTTGTGTAGAGGCCTCGAGTAGAGGGGCCGGTGTCGGGGCCCTCGAGGGCCATGAGGAGAGAAAGGAGGATAAACCGCTCAGAGAAGTTCGCACTCCTCCAGCCAAACCAGTGAAGCTGCTTACTAGACTGAGCAGTCTGGACAGTCAGTATCAATTCATCACATGCATGTATACCTGTTTTCTAGATTTGACCAAAGGAGTGTAACGATGAAACATAATTACAAAAGGATTTTTTTCAGCCCCACCTTATATTAACTGGTTTTATGTATTATGTACTTGCACCAAAGAATAAGTATGTACTTATTGTGTTCAGGTTGTATTGTAAAATTGCTTAATTCATTTTTTGTATTAATTAATTAATTTCAATGTAAAGCCACTTGATATAAAGTGGGACCCTTTCTTGTCCTGTAGACACCCACTCTCATCAGGGCCGGCCGGCTCCAGCCACTCTGCCCCGGAACTTCACCCTCCCCAAAGATGCCCTGCGGGGCAGGATCTCCACCCCCACCGGCTCACCTCACTCGGGGGTCCTGCACCATCATCTGCCCCCGAGCTGCATCATCGAGGAACTGCACCGGGCGCTGGCCTCCAAACACCGGCAGGACAGGTGAGGACACTTGTAATTCTGACGAATTCTGTCATCATTTTACTAAAAGAACCATCTTAAATAGTCGATATGAAATATGTGCTATGTAGTCTAAAGTTTGGAATAATTAAGAATAATAGGGCCCCATCATAAACCCATTGCAATGCTGCACCAGGCGCAACGCAAGCAAGTTTCAGCCCGACGCAGTTATCATTTTCACGTCCTGCGCCACATGGTTTAAACAGCAAATGCATTTGCGCTCATCTGTCCATCCATGGGCTGCTGGTCTGACAACCAGGGGTCTCATTTATAAAGTTTCCACGCAAATCTATAAAAAATGTATGTTTAGTAAGGATCCTACGCACAGTTTTATAAATGAGACCCCAGGTGTGTTGTTCAGGTGCATTGTTGGACCGTTGCTATTTTGAGAAACTGAAATAGACTGAGCCATTGACGAACTGAAACCTGCTCTAAAGTCAATGCCTCAGTATTTTTCTTTGTTATTTAAGCGGGTCCACAGTGTGCATACAGTTTGTCCTGTAGATGTTCTGCTCGCTTTAACCTCGTGCTCGAACAGATTGCTCTATGGAGAAACGTTCAGTTTTTCTGCTTGCAAATTCCTCCATGTAAATAGCGAATCCACCATGGCACGAGCGCAACTGGCTTTTAAAGGGAATGGGAGAAGAAACTCCCGCCGAGCACTTTAGAACATTTTAGATCCTAAAAATGGACCCTTAGTGTTTTTGAAAGAAGTCTCTTGCTCACCAAGGCTGCATGTGTTTGTATATAGCAAAAACAGTAATATTGTGAAATATCATTACAACTGTTTTCTATCTGAATATATTGTAAAATGTGATGTATTCCTGTAATGCAAATTAAAATTTTCAGCATCATTACTCCAGTCTTCAGTGTCACATGACACTTTGTAACAATGCTACGATGTCGTTTGATCAAATTATGTTACGGCTACATTAGTAGATCTGAAAACAGTCTTTCGTTTCAAAACGCTCTCTGTCCACGTTAGGTTTTTCCAAAAGTTTCTCATCCGCACTGAATTTCTGAATAGTATTGTTTGTGTTGTTATGCATTGAAATTCTTTCTTAACCAGATGTTTTAAATGTCAGTTTCCACAGTAAGGAGATCCGTGGTTCCCCCAAACGGCGCTCGGATGGACGGGGGTCCCGCACCGCCAGCACTGAGAATGAGCAGAGCGGAGAAGTGGAGAACAAGAAAGAGGCAGAAGAGAACAAGGAGAACATGCGTGTGGATGAATACTACAGCGACCAGGACAGCTGGAACGACTCTGTCATCTCTGGTGTGTTTCTTTGACCTCGGTTTACATCACATGTTGATCGTGGACATCAGCGTTAAAAAATAATGAGTATTTTAGAATTTTAGACCAAATTTTTTTTTTTCTAGTTTTAGTTTTTGTTAGTTTTGATTTGTCATGTTTTTACTATAGTCTGTAAAAAAAAGATGTATGACGCATCTCCGCTTCTTTCGGCTGTAGAAAAATAAAGACAAAATATCCTAGTAAAGGTCCATCCGTGTTAGATATAGATCCGGGTCACTAAAGAGCCACAAATGTAATAGTGATTTGTGAACATTCATGTATTTAAAGGTACAATATGTAAGTTTTCACCGCCAGAGGTCGCATTTTCAAAACAATAACAAAGGCGAAGCTTGATGACGCTATGAAGGAGAGTGGAACTATAAGGGATGTTTTTTTCGTCATCCAGAGATGTATGGTATAATTCATATGTTTCATGAATCATGTTCACGGATGAGGTAATAAATTAGTTTTTGTATTACCTGTACGTTTGATCAGACTATGTTGTCATCACAATAAATTAGCTGCAAGGAACGTGAAATGTAATAGCCTGTTACTGATATATGACTATGTGTCAAATGATTTTGGAGAGTTAATGCTGCGCAGTTTTACACGTTTAAAACCATCGTACTAAAAGTACATTTAAACGAAACCACAGTATTTGCTAATAATAGCATTGCACTTTGTAGTTATATTGCACAATTATTTATAAAATCAAATTTTCAGTTTGACTAGAAATTACACACAAACATGTTCTGTGCACAAGTGATAGGTATATACCCTGATTTATCTTTGTTTTCCACACACATCACATTTCCATTTCCAAGTTTTCTCCGACACTGCTTGATAAACAAATACTTTTGAAAAAGTTTATAATGAAAAATGATTGGTTGTTGTGTTAATGCCACTATATTCTAAATATTTTTTACAGTCATAAAAACCAATATACTGTACATCAGTTTTATACAATGGATATTTTATTATAGTATGTTATGTTATGTTTGTGTGTTGTGTTATGTTATGTTGTTATGTTATATTGTTATTTTATGTTATGTTGTGTGTTATATGTTATGTTATAAATTATTATATTATGTCGTGGGCATGAATTTGCCTATAATTGACCCTTGTTTGTGCAGATTTCTGATCTTAGTCCATTTCAGAATCATTAATGATCATGTGTGTGTGTGTGTGTGTGTGTGCAGGCACACTTCCACGGCGGATAAGAAAAGAGCTCCTGGCGGTGAAGCTGCGTAACAGGCCCAGTAAACAAGAGCTGGAGGACAGGAACATCTTCCCTGTGCGCAGCGATCAGGAACGACAGGAGATTCGCCAACAGATCGAAATGAAGCTTGCCAAGTGAGTCTGGAGTAAAGTTTCACACACAAATGTTTTATACGCACTCTACAAAAGTTTGTCGTCAGGACATTTTTTTTAATATTCATTAATTTGATTTAAAAGTGTCAGTTGTATGTTAAAAAAAGATTTATCGGTTACCCTTTATAATAACTGCATTATATGAATCATTAATTAAGCATTAGTAAATAGTTAATTAATTATATATAAAGCATTAATAGACATTCATAAGCAGTTTATACTGTAAATACAGCTATAAATGCTTTATTCTTGATTTATAAGCATATCATTTGTTTAATAATTGTACTTTCACACTTTATCTATGGTTCATTTATCATTTCTAAATGATGTATTACTTTATTTACAAACCAGTTTAGGAGTTTTCAGTAGTTCATAAGGTCGTTTACATTAATTAATTATTAAATGTACATTTGATCACTTTTTATTTAGACATATAATAATAATAATAATTACTCAGTGTGTATTACCTACTGTAATTCATGATTAATTCAGGTAATAAAACATTTAGTGGTTTTCAGTGAACTATTTTTGTGAGCTCATCTAAAGTGAGACAGGGTTAATAAAAAAATGAAAAATAAAGCATTTATTAACACACTAAGTAACTATTACTACCCATTCTCATCCTTTAGCGTCATATAGAACGCTATATGACAAAACGGTACTATACTACGCACATGGCACCCGTTATCGTTAATATAACACGCGCTGTGATGGGTAGGTTTAGGTGTAGGGTAGGGTAGTCTCATATTACGCTAAAGGATTTGACGACTTGGGTTCGCGTGTTATATTAACGATAAAGGGTGCCATGTGCGTAGTATAGCGTCGTTTTGTCATATAGCGTTCTATGTGACGCTAAAGGATGAAAACGGGCTGACTATTACTATATGTCTAAATAATAAGATATATAAATGTTAATTTAAAGTGTTTATTAATCATTTACTTACATTTATACTTATAAATCAAGAATATAGCCTTTATAGCTGTATTTATAAACTGCTTATTAATGTCTATTAATGCTTTAGAAATGATGACTTAACTAGTGATTCATAGCATGCAGTTATTATAAAGTGTTACTGATTTCTTTTAAATTAATGCTTAAACAGATGCATTATATTCATCAAGAATCCCGAAAAAACCATAACGCAACATGAAGACTAGAGTAACGATGCTGCAAATTCAGCTTTGACCACAGGA